CAAGTAGTTGATCAGACCGACCGAAACAATTAACTGTTTCCCCGGGATTAGAAACCAGGAACTCTCGCGCTTAACGCAAAGCTAGGCAATATGTTTAACCATTTAGCTACAAAGGCGGTCATTGACGTCTTACTAAATTAATATGTAGGCATTTGTAATCTTAATAGATGTGAAAAAATATAGATAGTTAAATAAAACTAAAATTTTATTAACTAAAATATATCGCGTTTTAAACTGTTAAAGTGTTTTGTTTAAATGTGTACTACTCGCGTTAAATACAGACAGTATGTAGATGGTTAATTTATCTAATTAAGTATAGTAATTACTTAGATAAATTAACTATCTCCATACTAAGCCTTTTAAATGTTTCATAGCAGCTGAAGAAAAGGAGGACTACGACCATTTAAGAAATTAAAAAAATCACGATTTTGGCCGTTAAAAAGTTAACAACATGTTTAAAATACTTAAACATAAAATTTATTAAGCAATCCTCGTTACATGATTAATTTATTAACATGTATGAGTGAGTTAGCAACTTAAGTATAAAATTAAGTTAAGTATAAATACTGTATGAATAATATGTCACTACATGATTTATCTATGTATCATTTATGTAAATTAGAATTGTAAATAAAATAATAAATTAAATTAAACAGCCTTTGTCGTATTCAAAAACTTTAACACACAGTTATAAGAACAGAGTTGTACTTAGATTTAAGTAATTACCTAGAACTAACACGGTATTAAACCTTCGCCACTGTAGCTAAATAGTTTTAACCGCCGAGCGTTGCGTTAAGCGGGAGCTCCGGGGTTCGAATCTCGGGGAAACAATAGATTGTTTCGATGGGGCAGGACAAACAGTCTGATCCACTAATTACCTGTATGTAAAACGAAATGTATTTACCCCATACACCACAAAGGGAAACTAAGACTTCATACACTAATACGACACAAAACCACTGGAAGGAACTAATCTGAAAGAAATATGAGCGCCAAGAATTACTGAAGCATGACTTTTTGTTTGTTAATAAATTTCTTTAGGTTTTTGTTGAAGCCTGATGTAGGAGCGCTATCGATGGAACACGCAATAGTTTGTAAAGGCGATTCCAGAAAACGGTCGTTTTGCGATTAGATCAGCACGGTCAGCGAGGGGGGCACGGTCCCGGGGGGGCGAAGGCCTGTTAATTGCTCCGTTTTGTGAACACGGCGGTAGCGTGCTCGCGCAGTAATCAGCGGCCTCTGACTGATTGCTTTTTAAATAGGTTTTATGCCCGCTAAAAATGCTTTGAGGGAAATCAAGGAAAGCCCTTCGAGTTCGTGCGATATGATTGTTAGTTTATAAACTTTCGCCTGATGACCTCAACTCCGTGACGAATCTACATTAAGTCCACAGTACCTTCAGTAAAATCGCGTTGTGTAAACATAATATAACACACTAACTGGGCCAGCGACTTCGTCCACATGGAAACAAATTTTGGGCGTCAAATTTCTCCTAATCTCTATATAGCTGTTACCCACGATGTCGATTTCGTCGTACTTGCGAGTTAATCTTGAAAATATAGATATATACAGTACCGTGGTCACGGGAAACCCTCACGCCCCCCACCCCGGCGCCCGCCAAAGCATCCGAAACGCGGGCCGAAGTAATATCACTTCCAAATAAGTTTAACTAATATTCGTTTTGAACCGTTAAAGTTTTCTTTAATTGTATACACTCACGTAGACATAGACAGTACTTTGAGTCAATTTGAAACCCAAATCATTATTTAAACTTATTAACATTTTGTACCAACAACTCGTTTCTCTCCAACTTAGCTACGTACTAAGAAAGCAGATGGCGTTAGCGTAGCGATAAAGCCAAAACGGGTTTACCGTGGTGAATGCTTCAGTCCCCACTTGACAACGACGAAAAGAATCCGAAAAGTCGGGCCGTAGTTAAAGAAAATTGTAAATCAGTTAAACAAAAAGATCAAAGGTATTCAACCTTGTTAGCGTGAAGTTTTCAAACGTTATTAAAAAGTTGTTACTTAAATGTACTCGTGTATATGTAATTATCTAAGTATAAATAAATTGCACGTTTAACGATTTCACTTTGTTGTAACAATTAAAGTAACAAAACACTATTATATCGGTGATTAAATTTTTATCTTAAGATATAGCTTTATTTACATACATATTTCGTATTTGATTGTAGGGATAAGAACTTAACTGACTCTCTATCTTCAAGTATATACAGTATTCGGATCCTTTGCATTATATGCACTAACATGATCAAATAAGCCAATATTTTTACTCTCTTCTACCAGGTTAAGACATGCGAAGCCGACCGGTTCGAAGAAGAAACACATATAGTGGAGAAGTTTTTTTTTATTTTATGACCTGATGACGACAGCCTTTAGGTCAACTCTTCTTTGAATTGTACATTCATGGCGGTAATATTACGTCTATGAGCACATTTCATTAAATTGTTTTAATATTTAAAAATGTATTTTGTAAGTTGGAGAAGGGATTTCACTGCACACAGACTATGCTATGCATATTTTAAATAATAATTAACTCACATTAACGTAGATGTTGCGCATCTGCCGGATGTCACGTGACGTCCAGAAAAAAGTATTTACATAGAGCAAAAATGCGCACAGAGTATAATTTCAATATAATACGCAGACTATAAATGGAGACGACACATTTGAATTTCGAACACGCCAGTTAGACTGAGAAGCGAGGCATAGCGTGACTGAGTGGAGTTACAGCGACCATCGCTACCGCGCGGTATTTGTTACAACTGCTAACTACCTAAATGGATTGTAAGCATACAATAATCTCTTTATGGTATCATTCCAATTCGAAATTCGAATATTTTACACATTACTACGCTTCCGTTGCGCGTTTTCGACCGTTACTCGTCGATTTCATTACTTACCGGATCATAGTGTTTGCGTTTTAGAGGATGCGTCTAATCTGAGAAATCGTTAGATTTGCGATTTAGGATTTAATGTTGATTAAATTAATCACCGCTCCTTCCGGCATCTTCTATCAATACCAATTATCCTAACTTTGGAATAAATAGAATAAATACTGTAGTTGACTCGAGTAATTAAATAAAACATTAAATATTAGTTAAACTTATTTGATTCAGTTTTTTTTCTGGATTCCAAAAAAAACAGCATATCGTCAAACGGAAAGACACTGTTAGTCAATTCTGTAAAGACCCAGCCAGTTTTGCCAAATACCAACTACGACAGAACAGATGGCGTTAGGGTCGCTGTTTTTACTTTGACATTCTATGATGTCTATACAACCTCCATCTTTAGTCCATCCATCCGATACGTCGGGCCGTAGTTAAAAAGAAACGAAGGCTGATCTAGTTTTATTCGTATTTAATATGTTAAAAGACCAGAGATATTTGTGGCCTCTACTCCTAGGTAAATGTATAGTGGGTAAGAAATACAAAATCTAATTGACAACATTTTAATTACAAAACACCACAAATCTATGTTTGACATAAAATGCCACAATCGGATTGCTTAAGTACATTGCCACAATATGTTTTAGACGCAACGAAACTAAAAGAAACGCTTTTTAATTGTGTAATTTGTATTAAATACTAACAATACATACATAATATCTATACATTTTTAATATTATACACAATTAATGTATTTAGTTTTTGCTTAATTAAAATATTTTACACGCGAAATCATAATTGAAATTTTTGAATTACTTTCAGTGACGCAGCTATCGTAGGGCCAGGTGGTGCAGTGCACCAGGGCCCCGGAACTTAGTGGCCCTCTAGCCTTATCTGCGAGAAGATAAAAGCGTAGAAGAAAAGGATTTTTAACGTTCTTGTTGCTATTTATAATTTTGGAGGTTCATTTAATTCAAGATATACTAATAGAGAAACCCGATTCTTTCTTGAGCCTGAGGATTAGGTAGACCGGGGCCCGTGTCCACCTAGCTACGCTACTGATTATTTTACTGTGAATGGTAAATATCTTTTTTATTCGTTTTATTCTGTATGGACAGACTAAAACTTGTACTTTTAGTACGCAATGTTAAATGTAAACAAAATAAACTAAAATAACACACAGAAGTAAAGAATTTAGACTGTTGACGCGAGTATTTAGTATTTCATTAAATGTATGCGCATTTAAAATCATTCTGGTTTCAAACAGTAATTAATTCTTATAATTGTAGATTACAGATTTGTGTTTCTATGTGTTATTAGTAATATTGTGTGATATTTTTACCCGAAACCTATAGTACAACGTGAGTATTTAATTACATAAAGAACCAATTAAGATAAAATCAGCATAAATTAAGAAATAAATAAAACTATTGCTCTTCAGATTATTCGTTGAAATTGTTAAACTAAGCAGGTTTATCCTAGTAATTAGTAGTAAACATCGAATTATATGATACACTTACATCTACTTTGAAACTGAGCTTATAATATCACAAATGGACAAAGTCCCACACAGTAGTCTTGAGACTCCCCGCATAGTACCATCTGGGCCTAACTTCACCAAAAACTTCAATGACATTTAAATAAAACACTTTAACGGTGTCTATAGTTTACGCGAGTAGTACACATTTAAATAAAACACTTTAACGGTTTTAAACGCGATATATATTAGTTGAACTTATTTGAAAATGATTTTTAACTTCGGCCCGACGTTTCGGATGCTTTGCAGCAGTCTCCGTGACCATGGCTGATTTCAAATGACTTAAAATATTATATCGCGTTTTAAGCCGTTAAAGTGTTTAATTTAAATGTGTACTACTCGCGTTAACAATAGACACTTCAATATAAGTAGACCGCGGTTAACTTTTTTAATCGATATTTTAATTTTCTAATGAATTTAGGCCCAAATGAATACAAGTGCGAAGTGAATATCGCAAAATTGGGGGGGGGGCATTCACGAATTGTCCCACTGTGCACTGATACGTCTTCACTACCGGGAGAGTCACTTGAGAGTTTTCGATCACTACATTCGATATTATACGTGAATAGTTTCGTCGTCTTCGTCGTCGTCGGATCGTCTTTCTAAAGACGGTTCCCGGGGGGATCTTGGGGGAGGCAGGGGACTGCCAGGGTCGACGTCGGGGGATGGGGTGCGGCGCGCCTGAGCGTAGTACCCTAGTGCCCCCAAACCTGGGGCTCCTAGGGAGCTGAGGTGCGCTGACGGACCCGGGAGACCAAGGCCCAATGGGGGAACGCCCCCTAATGGTGCGCCGGGGTATAACCTGTTAATGAGATAAGATTATTGAAAACTTTGGAATAAAATACGATGTATTTTGTAAATACAAACTAAATGGACATTTAACTTTAAGAAAAAAATATATATTAATCTCATATTACTTATATTTATAAAACTTAGTGATAATATTTACAAGATTTTTTTTAAATTACATTAAACTTAAAAAACTTAAGTAAACGTAGGTTGGAACTATTTATATTTAAGTATTACGAGCAATAGGTATTTATATACAAACACAGAAAACATGACCATAACATGTACGGAATTGTTCGCTGTTTTTGCTTACCTATAAGGAAGAGGTTTCTGCAGCGTGTTCGCTGATGCGGAAGCAGCGGCTGCTGCAGTCGCTGCAGCCTGTCTGTAATATAGATCCGCTGCTGCCGGTGCTGGCTGCGCAGGATATGCTGGCACACCAGCCCAATAACCTCCATAAAGACGTTGGAACGCCGCATAGTTGCCTGCCTCCGCTAACAATTCTAAGCCCACTGCTGTTTGACGCTTCCATTTTGTCCTATAACAATAACAAACATTTTTATCTAATCTCATAGTTTTATTTATTTAGTTTTTATTTAGCCTAATATAATGCTAGATTCTCTGACGTTTCAAAGAAAACTAATAGATTTTACCATTTCGTTTTGTATCATTTCATTCATTGTATATTCTTTACGTTTTTTGTAGATCGAGGATTTTTTTAATATAAGTTCGCCACTTCAAACTCAACTTATCGTTAAAATTGCCAGTTAAACTGTTTGCGGATCATTTAGCAATAGTATTAATATATTAATTTTAATTCTACAAACGACAGAAAGGATTTACACATTACGAGCTCAAATGGAGTTTTAAATTATTCTTCCCCGACGTTCCCTTCGCCCATAGATCATCGCAATTGGTGACCCCATCCTCATCAAATTTGTCACAGGCCACTCCAGAACACAAAGAAGACACCACAATGGTAGCGCAATAAAAAATAAATAAATAAAATAATAAATGACAAAACGTCTTGAACACTCGTGAAATCAGTGATCCGTGGTTAGTGCTTTAATTTGATTTATACGATTTTTCGAAAGGGTAACATTAGGGTATGGAACTTCTAAATTGTCTCCTAAATGTACGATAGGAGATATCAGCAAGTTTAAATGTAGGAAGGGACAACACTTAATCAAATTTTATTACCTTTAACGAATGACGCATTTAGACAAAGTAATCGCGTATTTGCGATTTTTACATTTATTTGTTATTACTAGATATAATTGTAACTAATTGGTTTGTTTTATAATATAGGATACATAAGCAAGTGATTTGTTGATAATTAACCATAACGATATTTAGTTATTATAGCACGGTTAGTAAGTTAATATATATCGCGATTAAACCGTTTAGTGATTTATTTAATTAAGTGTTTCAATTAGTTTAATTTTGCTTTATTTCAAATGTCATCCTTCTAAACATAGTCCACTCTATTTTCATACTTAGTATGTAGTATAAAGGCGATGTTTTGCTCAAAATACAACATATAGATACTGTAAGTGTTTAAATAAAACACTTTAACGGTTTAAAACGCGATATATTAGTTAAACTTATTTGGAAATGATTTTTAACTTCGGCCCGACGTTTGCCCCCCGTGGTCACGGGGAGACGTTTCGTATGCTTTGCATCAGCAAAGCCGGGCTGAAGTTAAAAATCATTTCCAAATAAGTTTAACTAATATATCGCGTTTTAAACCGTTAAAGTGTTTTATTTAAATGTGTACTACTCGCGTAAACTATAGACAGTATTTACTGTAAGTGTTCTTACTGTGGTTTGCGCGAGTAATACACATTAATTAAATAAAACACTACTCGTTTTGTGAAATGGATTTTGTGTTTTAAACCGTTAAAAAAGTTTCATTGAAATTAGTATTTCAACCAGTTGTAATAAGTTTAAATTTAAAACTTATCTCCCTAAACACAGTCCACTTAATTATCATAAGTACTAAGTACCTACAAACGCGATTTTTTCGCTCAAATATATTTATTACACATTTAAATGAAACACTTTTCTCTTTGATACCCGTAATACATATGAAGTAGTTAAAATTTTCTTTATTTTAAATGTTATCTCTCCAAACGCACTTAGTACGCATAAAAGCGATTTTTCGCGAGTCGAAATTAAATTCCGTCCAATTGTCGATTGCTTCAAAGTGGTTTGTTATTGTCATCGCGTATTTTATTAATTTGTATGGAGTTGCATTATTATCGGTATCGTTGGGGCGGCCATTGTAATAGTCCCGGGCCGGGGGCTGCGGGAAGACGCTTCACTGGTTACCTCGTTAATTAATTTCTCTAAATGCATCATTTAATTTTATTAAATTCAAATGGAGAGGGCTTCAGATGTTCCCTTGTTGGTTTTTTTATTGCGTAATTTGGTTATTTATCAAAATTTTGTGGGGAGTAGTTTTATTGTGTGAGTTAATTTGAATATTTATTACACCAGATATATATTATCATCGCATAGAGTGAAGTGTGTGTAAAATTATATATTTTCATGTTTAACACAAGAAATAGGCTACTGTTGGTAAATTTTAACTTATATATCTAATTAGCTTGCCAACGTTCTTTTGACACATTAAGTATTTCTCCTAAGCCTTATATTATAGTAGTTCCTGAGATTATCGCGTAGAATGTAGACAAACCCAGCTTACTAAAAAGCATTTGAAACGATGAGTTGTAGTTAGAAAATATTAAATAAAATTAAACCGTTAAAAGTGTTATTATTTATCATCTACCTATACCTGTACCTGTGTACTTTGAACATTAGGTAATACCTATTAGTATTGTAGTTTTAAAATTCCTTTTAAATGAAAGAAAGAATTCAATTCTTAAGGTACCTACTAACTTTAAAAAAAATACTTTAGTAAAGTCAAGTTTTATTAATATAACGAAAATAGTTTTAATATTCCATACTAGCCAAAAGAATTTCAAATTCGATACCCGCTTATCAATAAACACAACGAACCGACACTTAATCATCCGATACACGAATTTATTTTCTTTTAACGTTATTAAGTTCATAATAATTATCAGTAGCTGACATTTGATCGATAGAAAGCGATTCGGAGCCCATTAATCAAGTACTGTGACGGGTCATTCCGAGGAGCGAACACTCGAGAGCACTTATTTAATTGTCAAGTGTTGAATAAGAAGCAATCTGCCCGACGACGTTTTATTTCGCCGCGAACAAAAGCGCGCGGGCACTTAAAATTCGAAGCCTTAAGACAGCCTCTAAGATGTCTCAGCAGACGCTACCTCTCTCTTTCCAACTTGAGAAAAACCACGAGCTAGATCACCCTTCTCTCTCCCTCTCAGCCCCGGCGGAGTCTGCGTACGCTCCGCCCAGTGGTTTAGTGATTTGATGCTGCGTGAACTGATTCAATTGTTATCAGTACTGGTTCATCCTAAAACGCGCCTTAAGTAGCTCGTTTAAAGACGATATTCGTGTGTTAAAACGGTTCCGCTTGAGACCTTTCAGAGATCTCGATTTGAGTATTTGTACGACGTGATGCGAATTCGGCTCGTACAGCAAACAAACAAGGAACACAATCATCGATCCGGAACGTTTGGGATATACTTAAGCCCCTTTAGATGCCGGCGTCGGGCCCAATTTGAGCGTCGTTCGAACGTTATTTATACGCAGCTTAGAAGTTTTGGAGACACGAGTGTTCTTTGGGGAATTGTATACTTAGTTGCTTATATTGAGTTTATGACAGATAAGGATATTATTTATTTGTTTATTCAACTTCATTAATTATAATTAACACAGGAATTGTTTACAAGATTACCTTAAGAGCTAGCTTATAAATAATTGGCGGCCTTATCGCTAAACAGCAGTCTCTTCCAGGCAACCAGGAGTGAAGAGTAAAACAAAAAATAAACGAACTATAGATAGGTGGCGCTAGAAGATCGTGAAAAAAAGGCAATTAAAATTTGAAAACCAAGGTACCAACGGAGAGATTGAACTAGACATTTATTAGAGATTTAGATAGATGGTAGCCATGCATGGTAGGTGAATTCTCTAGCTCAATGGGTAAACGGATTGTCTAGCATTCAATTCCGTGAGAAACAAATAAATAGTTTCGTTCAGGCAGAACACACTTGTAGATAAAACTATATTAGTGCAACAGACACAGATATGACAGTCTGACGTACAGAGACTGAAATTTCACTTTATAACTTCCAATAAGGATGTGCAGCGGGCCTATTTGGATTTCATACATTCGAAAAAATACAGACTGAAACATTAACGCGTAAATACACTGCTTTTTTTATTTGTTTAAATGATATCTATCGATTCTACCTGTTTAATGTAGATCTCCTGTTCTGCAGTCGAGTAAACCATGATATATGATAGAGGAGGACAAACAAGCATGTGGTTGATGGTGTGTACACCAAGGCATATAACATCAAAACGATGCGCCGTCGCGTCGAAAATCCACACTTCCACAGACTAAAACCTACACGCGATTAAACGTAACGGCTTGTTCATCTGTGGACGGTAGTTCGGTATTCTACCGTTGAATATTTTAGAATAGAAAAAATATAAATAGGTTACAAAAATCCGTTGGAAATAGATTAGAAGGGTCCGTTCGTTTGTAAATTTAAAATTTCGAATCAATAAACCTGACATCATTCACAGCAATCCCAAAACGAAACAGTCCGAACTTGGAAGTAGCAAATTACAAAGTACGAGAATCGAAATCCTCTATTAAATTCGGGGCAAATCCAAAATGGCATTCGCGTAGTGATTAGCCAAATGATAAGCCGAGCGACCTCGGCGTCCTTCCACTCCCGTGTCTCTCCCGTGGCTGTAATTTCGAAGGGTTCGCTATAAACGATTAGTTTACCAAGAAACAGACTTGGTAGCTGCCCGTGCTACCATATTATATCATTAGCGTCGTGGTCACACGGTGCTTTTTCACAATTATTATATTACAAAAATTCCGTTCTTACAATGACACTTAGCAGTCGTTAAAGCTTTTTAGAAGATTCGCTAGTTATCATCACGCTTACTTCTTACATTGTTAGTCGATATACAAAGTATATCTTGCTTTTTGGAATTTTGTAGAGTCGTGTTTAAGATCTAAACTAATATATCAAGCTGAAGAGTTTGTTTGTTTGAACGCGCGAATCTGGGCAAATACGGGTTCGAATTGAACAATTATTTTGGTGTTGATTAGAACATTTATAGAGAAAGGTTGCCATAGCTAAATTTATGCGCGATAGAAATAGTAGATACTGTCTATAGTTAACGCGAGTAGTACACATTTAAATAAAACACTTTAACGGTTTAAAACGCGATATATTAGTTAAACTTATTTGGAAATGATTTTTAACTTTTTAACTTTCTTTAAATAAGTTTAACTAATATACCTTTCTCGTTTTAAACCGTTAAAGTGTTTTAGAAATAGATGGCTTAACTCTACGAACAATTACAATGTAACTGAAGTTGTTTAATGTTGATATTTCTTCATATTAA